TGACTATTCCTCCATATACATATGGTTCTTGAATCAGTGTAACATGTATGTTGGGGCTGACCAGCACGTCGTAGGCGCTTTTACAGTGCTGGATGTTGGCCTGGATGAAGCCTACTCCCGCCATTATTGTTTGGCGGGTGCAATTTTGAGAGCGGCAGTTTTGCATTTGGGAAGGGAACAGAGAAAATTTGATGAGTTTTTTGAATTATTTGAATAAAGTTCATAAGAACCTTAAATTTACTATAGAAATTGAAGAAAATGATCAACTTAATTTTCTAGACTTAAATTTAACAAGAACAGATAAATATAAAATTGAGTACAACATTCATAGGAAACCATCGNATAGGACAGCTTGATTCATATGCACTATGTATGAGATTGTTTAGTTGAAAAGAGGCTATTTCGAGATCCTCTCTGCTTTCAATATTTGTTTTGATTTCGTCGGCCTCTTCGCTGATGTGTCTACAAAAAGAGCACCAATCAGTGAGTGAGGGGATTCTGAATTCCGTTTGTTTTGTCATGTCTGCTACAGTGACAAAGCGAATATGCTTGTGATCCGCTAAAGTGATTTCACGTGAAACATGCCAGTTTGTGATTTGCGAACTGAGACGAGGCATAGCTAGGCTTATGTCTAGCACCTCTTGTCGACTCTTAGTAACAAAAGTAGGCAGTTTAGAGAGGATTTAGCGAGTATCGCTGCTCTCGCAGGCAACTTACCTGCTTTTGTTGATAGTCTTCTGACTATTCCTCCATATACGTATGGCTCTTGGATCAGCGCAACATGTATATTGGGGCTGTGGAAGCCCTTGACCAGCACGTCGGAGGCGCTTTTACAGTGCTGGATGTTGGCCTGGATGAAGCCTACTCTCGCCATTATTGTTTGGCGGGTGCAATTTTGGGAGCGGACCCTTTTTTTCGGAGCTAACCTTACCTGCACCCTTCTTGGGGTCCTTGGCGGTTCTGGAAGTTCCTGGTGTTGGTTCGGGTCCTACCTTTTGTGGCGTAGGCTTGCCGCTCTTTTGCTTGAGAGTGATTTGCCCGAACTTGTAGCTAACCTTATAGTTAGCTTTTTTAAGATTCTCTACAGAGGGATAATCAACAGACAACGTAAGAAAGGCACTGCTGCCTTCGGTCGTCCTTTTGAGCACCCTCCATTCGTTGGTGTTCAGGCCTTCGTTCTGACCTTTAACAATTTTTATCGGATTTCTCATCCGCACTGTTGGGGAAATAGGCGTTCATGATAGTCGCTCTGGGTAGCTCCTTTTCATCGATAACCATTAGGGATGCCCTCTCCAATGGTTGTAGGGTTGGAGTTACGGACTTTATCCAGTCCGCTGTTTCCTGGTTTTCGCAGTTGACTACCAACCAGCCTGCCTTAAATTTGGTGCTAAGGAACTTAGGCTTGATTTCGCAGAATTCTTGAGATGATGCGCACTGTGAAAAATTTGGGTTTGTTAATAGATGATGATTTAAAATTTAATTCACATATAAACAAGTTACTACAGAAATCATATTGCGTATTAAAATCCCTTTATCCATATCGGCATGTATTAAATGAGAACAGTAAAAGATTACTGACTGATTCTTTGATTTTATCCAATTTTAATCATTGTGACTCGNCGAATTTTGAAAATTATCGATGAAAATTGCAACATCGAAAATTTTATCAAAACTTCAAATATTGTTTTCTCAAAAACTAAAAGTTATTTTTCAAAACGGGTTTATTCATTGGAAAGAGGACACTTTTATTAGCACTTTGGATAATTTTCATACTTATATTCCAAGAACTTTCATTTCTAAAATTTACTTCTCAAGAACAGAAAGTGATTTTTCAAAACGGCATTTTGCATTAAAGAGAGGACACTTTAATTAATAATTGGTGATATTTCCACAAGGATCCTTCAAGAAATGAATTTTATAACGAATTTTGCAAGTAATCGATGAAAATTGCAACATCGAGAATTTTATCAAAACTTCAAATATTGTTTTCTTCAAAACGAAAAGCTATTTTTCAAAACGGGTTGGTACATTGGAAAGAGGGCACTCTTATTAACACTTTGGGAAATCTTTATACTCATATTCCAAGAAGTGGATTTAATATGAATTTTTAAATCTTAATCGGCGAAAATTGAAAAATTCGAAAAAATTTTCGATCATTTCAAAAATTTATTTCTCAAGAACTAAAAGTGATTTTTCAAAACGGCTTTTTGCATTAAAAGGAGGATACTTTAATTAATAATTGGTGATATTTCCACAAGGATCCTTCAAGAAATTAATATTATAGCGAATTTTGAACATTATCGATAAAAATTGCAACATCGAAAATGTTATCAAAACTTCAAATATTGTTTTCTCAAAAACTAAAAGTTATTTTTCAAAACGTATTGGTTCATTGGAAAGAGGACACTCTTATTAACACTTTGGGAAATTTTCACATTCATATTCCAAGAAGTGGATTTATCACTTTTAAATCAAGTTCAATCTTCTCAAAGTATAACATTTCATTGGCATTCTCCAACAACAACAATTTAATTCGAATCTTTTCTAACTATCATAATAAAAACAACGATAAATTGAAGGAAAGTGTAGTCTACTCTGTTGCATGTTCTGAGTGTGAATGTATTTATGTTGGACAAACAGGAAGAAAGCTTGAAAAGCGAATTCAAGAACATAAAACTAAAGAAAACTCAAACGTTTATCAACATGTAACAGAAACAAAACATAAAATAGATTATGAAAATTTGAATCTCATTCATAAATGCAAAAAAGGCTTTAAGCTTGATTTATTGGAATCATTGGAAATTCACAAGCATAAAGTTAAAAACAAATTCAATTGCAACATAAACCTCTTTACATGTATTTAAAAGACATAACATCATAATACCAGCTCAACAAAACAAGTTCTTCCTCTTTCAAATATTTAATTCCGAAATACAACCAGTTGTTTCTTCATAATGATCAAGTGTAGAACTAATAACATCTATAACAACCTTTTTAACGTGTTCGTGACTCGTTTATACGTAGAAATGTCATTTACATTTTAAGATATATGCACATTCGTCGTTTTAAAGAATTTTTTAATGATTTATTTTTATTTAACAACAAAAAAGTTTCCAAAATAGTTTTATTGGCAATAAGTTCACGTTTTATATTTATTTGATTATCATTAACCATTTTTATATATATATATAGCTTCGGCTGATGATGGGAAACTGAGTTTTTCCCGAAACTGGTACCGTTAAAATAAATTATAAAAAAAGCAAGTAAGAAGTTTCATTTTCAAAATTACAAAATGGCTTTAGGGAGAAGTGGAAGGTGAAATCGGAGCTTGAGTATTTAGGTAATATAAAATCATATACAGGGTGTCAGATAAAAACCGCCCCAAGCTATAACTCTGTCATTTACATTTCAATTTTTATGAGCCAGATATCAAATGAAATCNGGTTCATTGGAAAGAGGACACTCTTATTAACACTTTGGGAAATTTTCACACTCATATTCCAAGAGGTGGATTTATCACTTTTAAATCAAGTTCAATCTTCTCAAAGTATAACATTTCATTGGCATTCTCCAACAACAACAATTTACTTCGAATCTTTTCCAACTATCGTAATAAAAACAACGATAAATTGAAGGAAAGTGGGGTCTACTCTATTGCATGTTCTGAGTGTGAATGTATTATGTTGGACAAACAGGAAGAAAGCTTGAAAAGCGAATTCAAGAACATAAAACTAAAGAAAGCTCAAACGTTTATAAACATGTAGCAGAAACAAAACATAAAATAGATTATGAAAATTTGAATCTCATTCATAAATGCGAAAGAGACTTTAAGCTTGATTTATTGGAATCATTGGAAATTCACAAACATAAAGTTAAAAACAAACACAAATTACTTAATGAACAAATTCAATTGCAACATAAACCTCTTTACATGTATTTAAAAGACATAACATCATAATACCAGCTCAACAAAACAAGTTGTTCCTCTTTCAAACATTTCATTCCGAAATACAACCAGTTGTTTCTTCATAATGATCAAGTGTAGAACTGTTATTAGTTCTACACTAAATCATATACAGGGTGTCAGTTAAAAAACGCCCCAAGCTATAACTCTGTCATTTACATTTCAATTTTTATGAGCCAGATATCAAATGAAATCGTTTAATGAATACTATGTTTCATGGTACAAATACATTTTTTCNCAACGTAAGAAAGGCACTGCTGCCTTCGGTCGTCCTTTTGAGCACCCTCCATTCGTTGGTGTTCAGGCCTTCGTTCTGACCTTTAACAATTTTTATCGGATTTCTCATCCGCACTGTTGGGGAAATAGGCGTTCATGATAGTCGCTCTGCTTTTCATCGATAGCCATTAGGGATGCCCCCTCCAATGGTTGTAGGGTTGGAGTTACAGACTTTATCCAGTCCGCTGTTTCCTGGTTTTCGCAGTTGACTACCAGCCACCCTGCCTTAAATTTGGTGCTGAGGAACTTAGGCTTGATTTCTTGAATCACCTCTTGAATAGCCTGCATTTGGGCTGTTGTGAGGTTCACCTCTGGAAATAGGGAATCCGCAATTCCCATCTTTTTACCTTCCAACACCTGCTTGAAGCCTGCTTTAGCCCCCTTCTCCTCCTCACTGATGGGCTGAAAAGCCTTTGTTTTATCGCTGGCATTGTAGCTTCACTTTTTAACAAGGCCAAACTGTGCCTTTTATTCTTTTTGATTTTCTGTCTATTATATGTTACCCACTTCCTTTATGGCTTTCTTCTTCAGGATTTTTGTTTATTTCATTCTCCAATCTTATCTGGTAAAGATTCGAGAGTGATACATAGAATTAATGAACTTAAAAAGTTGTATTAAAATATACTAAAAATACGAAAAAAGCACCTTGTTAATCAGAATAAATTAGTTGAGATTTGAAACTTAGATTATCAATTTTGTAACGCATATTTTCTAATATTTAATTATTTATTTTAATAGTTAGTCTTTATTCCTTTTTCAGGTATTTGTGGCAAATCCAAATAAGCCAAAACCAATTTTAGACATCTTATTAAGAAATCAAGATAAACTCGTGGATTTTTTGATGAAATTCCATACGGATCGAGCGGAAGATGAGCAATTCAACGATGAAAAGGCCTATTTAATTCGACAGATACAAGAATTACGACCGGTAGCGGGACATTAATCTAACAAAAAAATCGTAAGGACCACCACACCTTTCCCTATATTAAAAAACAAGAAACGTTTTTTCCCCTCTAAAATATTCTTCTTCTCATCTTAATCTTATAATAATCTATAGTTATCGTTTTGTTAATTTTGTTAACGTTTACGTAACAACCATCCTCGCCGATTTTAGAAAAAGATGTTACGTTGCAGTTATTATTATTATTATTATTTTTTAATTCGGTTTTTTTTCTTTAGACAAAAATGATTTTTTTAAGAAACAACGTAACGTCGCTTGGTTTTTATCGCATTTAGTTTGTAGTGTTAAGTTTGTTATACGATGTTATTTTATATCGTTAACGAAATCAAAATGAAGAGAAATATAATTTGATGATAATAAATAATATTTACGGAAAAAATTCATGAATTTAATAAAAAAGAAAATGCGAGTAATCGAATAATTTTTTTTATTTTATTGCTAATATTTTTTTTTTAGAGAAACATATCTATACGCCACGTGCAAAAATACATCAAAAATTGAACTAAAATAATAGTATTTTCAATATTTCCTTAAAATAAAACTTTAGAGAGCTATTCTTCGTCCTATTAATACATAAACCCATTTTTTGTGAATGTGACAAATAAATTAACATCAATTATTTCAAAAGATGAATAAAAGAAAAATTTTCCAAGCATTCTAAATGTTTTATTTTATTGAATATAGAATATATTGATAAAATATCGAAAAAGGAGGACAAAATTCGAAATTAATTAACACAGAATTAGGGGTGCCTATAAAGTGCTTAAAGTATAGTTGAAGAAAAAGAACTAATAATAATGTACACATTTATACATAACATAAGAGGTAAATTATCTTAAATAATCAATTCTAAAAGAAAGTAAAATAAAGTGGTTTTCTTTTCGTTTTATTGCTACGTTTTTAACACTGAATTAATTTTGTTTACATAAAATTTATACAACCAAGCATTGAAAAGTTTTAACAAACTCAATATAACAGGTTTTGAAACGTTAAATATGACGTAGTAATTAAACGATAAGAAAAAAACTTTATATTTAAAGCTAATAAAGTGAAAAAGAAAATAAAATAAATAATTAATTAGAAAGAGAAGCATAACTGATAAACCGAACTAGTTTTCTATATTATGGATTTGTATAAAATAAATAATGCGAATTGGGCACGATTTTATAGAAAGAGCGCGTATTTTGTTAAAAGTTGATACTTCTACTAATAATACATAATAATCGAAAAAAATATGTTTACCAGGCACCTGTGATTTTCCTAAAAAAAAAGAAAGAAAAGTAACGATTCGAAATATAATTATGCATTAAGTTGAGTCAATTTCGTTTCGTTTACTACTTTTATTTGATCCCCTTCCATTGGCTTATAAAACATCTTGGGACTTTTTTTTGTAATTTTCTTCAAGATTTCTCGATGTGGAATGTAATGTATATAAATATATAAACAATATGAATATATTTACCCCGCTTTAATTTGTAGTTTCTTATGTGCTGAGCTAAATTCTTTATTATAATAATAAGATCGTTTGTTTTCTTTTTTTTATTGTAATTTATTTAAATTATATGAATCTGGAACGATCAATAAATAAAATTATGTAAATAATATTGTCACATTTATTTTGATTAAAAAAATATTTATATTGGACATGAAAAGTTTGAATTCGCAATGTTCAATTATTTTTAAATTCTTTTTTTAGTTTTAAGTAACTCTGAATCCCTTTTGATTAGTGATAGAACGGATGGTGATTTTGCGAAAAGTCGGTCTAAAAGTCATATCTATCCGGGCCATTATGGTTATAGTTATTGCGATATTTGAATAAAAATGAAATTAATAAGATATGTCAACTTATTTGGATCCAACATACAAAATGAACTTTTTTGATGCTGAACTCTAAAAACAGGATACTTTAATTAACAATTGACGGTATTTCCACAAGGATCCTTCAAAAAATTAATTTTATAGCGAATTTTGAAAACTATCGACGAAAATTGCAACCTCTAAAATTTTATCAAAACTTCAAATATTGTTTTTTCAAAAACTAAAAGCTATTTTTCAAAACGGATTGGTTCATTGGAAAGAAAACACTCTTATTAATACTTTGGGAAATTTTCATACTCATATTCCAAGAACTGGATTTTATACGAATTTTTAAGATTTAATCGGCGAAAATTGAAAAATTCGAAAAAATTTTCGATCATTTCAAAAATTTATTTCTCAAGAACTAAAAGTGATTTTTCAAAACGGCTTTTTGCATTAATAAGAGGATACTTTAATTAATAATTGGTGATATTTCCACAAGGATCCTTCAAGAAATTAATTTTATAGCGAATTTTGCAAGTTATCGATGAAAATTGCAAATTCGAAAATTTTATCAAAACTTCAAATATTGGT